ATAGTAATAGAAAATACACAATTCCATACAAATTGCATACATATGGATCAGAATCAAAATTTAACCCATTTGACCATTAGGGTCATTGCGGTATGCTCGAGGGGGAAACACTTCCCGAATCTATATTCAAAATGGATCTCCAGATAAGTTTCGAATATGAGCATTGCACCATGATATGATCTGAGAACTCCTCTTCCTTGGAACAAAAGGGGCAGATGGAGACCAAAACTGAACCCCACGTTTGAAAGAGCAAAGAGGTTGGTAACCTAGAATACAAGGCTAGCCAGGTAAACCACTTTGTCCTAGGGAGAGATGGCATCGACCATACGACTTTGAAGACGGCTCTAACTGGTTCATCCCTTCTGATATACTCCCAAGCTCTTTTAACTGAGAAGTGGCTATTCGCAGCATGAATCCAAATAAGTTGGTCCTCAAGTGGACGAATAGGCATGGCATAAGAGAGTATCTCCTAATAGAGAGGACCTGCAAAGGATGAAGGAAGAATCCACTTAATAGGATCATCATCCAGAAAATATGACACTTTAGTTATGTTCGAAGATCCAATACCCACAATATAATCTATGCCATATTTCTCTATTAAGAATTGTTCTCATAACCATGGGGCATTCTAGAAATCAATATTATTTCCATTACCAGCCAGCTACCTAACATTTGATTGTATGCCCAAGACTATACTTCTCCATGCATGCGAGAAAATTCTTGATCTAGCGTGCCAAATTAAGGTGTCATGGAAATCCATGTGCTTGAAACATTTTGCCAAAAGGGTTGATGGATTGGATATAATTCTCCATGCTAATTTCATCATACTTGTCAAATTAAAGTCAAGAACATGACAAATTCCCAATCTCCCCTCTTCTCGTTTCAGGCATAAAGTATTCCAATTTATCAGATGCACTCGACTATTATCAGTAGTCCCTGCCCAAAGGAAATTACGTTATAACCTCTCAATGATTGTTAGAAGTACACCTTGGTAGGGTGAATGAGAGCATCCAGTAAATAGCTAAAGCACTTGGAACATACTTGAGCAATTGTAGCCAACCTGGAAATGAAAGGGATAAAGCTTGCCACAAGCCAATCTTGCAGAAAATTTTACCTATTAGACTTTGACAGTGCGCATCCCTCAAGAAACCATGAAATAAAGGTAACCCCAGATACCTCACAGGTAAATCACCTATGCAAACTGAAAGAGACTCACAATCTGAGTTTTCACATGATCAAGGACACCAAAGAATATAACATTACTTTTATTTTCATTTACTTTCTGGCTAGTTGCCTAGCAGAGAAATCATCCAAATTTTGCCTCAAAGAAGAAGCTCCCTGAGTTGTCGCACCAAATAAGATAAGTTCTCGACTTTCATGTGAGGAAATGATCTCGGCCATGTAAAAGTGAAGTAAGGAACAGACCAACTCCAATTCTGATGCCTAGTATGTAATTGAAAGCTCCACATTCTCCATTTGCGGGACCATTTATATGAAGGCTCCCTACTTTTTAAGCTTCAAATTCTCCTTCAAGAATGAGGAAATCAACAAAAGACGAAGCATAGCTGGGAAAATGCCTAGTGGCGGTCATTGATGGCGTCATAATAGAAGCAATTGATCCAATGGTGAAAACCGAACTCAACCATAGATGTCTAGTGGTCCGAGGTGATGGCCTTTACCATTCTATTGCAGCCAAAGAGTGATTTCTTAGTGTGGATCCATTCTTCCAATGGGCTTTAAAGGAAACATGGGATTTATTTTACAAAAGATGTCTTCTCAAGCTATATCTAGAGCATTATGATCGTCTAAATGCCACCCTCGAGCAAAGTGATTTTCATGGTTGGCCCTCTATAATCGACTTCCCACCTTTTGCAGCAGTGTTGGATCACCTTGGCATTTGTACGCCCTTTCTATAAAAATGATGATGACAGCACTTGTCATCTATTGTTTTATTATGTTTTCTCACAGGGTATTTGGAGATCAGTTGCATGCAGGTGTGGCAAATGATTCATTCCAACCATATCCATTTCAACCATGCTTACGAATTGGATTGCTTTTAGGTTTAAGTTAGATGGTCTTCTCAATATATGGATGTTTGTCTTTTTCACTACAGTGTGGTTTTTATAGAAGGAGTGCAACCATAGAATTTTTCAGATGACGATATCAAGTAGAAAACAATTGATAAGAAGGATCACCTCTCATATTTGTGAGTTAGCAAATGCTTTTGGGCCTTCCATATATATAAAAAAAAAAAACAATAATTGGCAATTTACATATCACATGGCTCCAACAAAATCTAAGTCCCTCATCCGTATTTTCATCATCCAAACCATTTTAAGCCAAATATTGACGGAGGATATTTTCAAAACCGAGGGCTAGTAGGCGGTAGTGCTGTCATCAGAAATGGGGATGGTGACTTTATTGCTGCTTTGGCCACACCTTTTGGTATCGCATTCAACAACTATAGAATTTTTTGCTCTTAAAGAGGACATTGACCTGGCCATTCATTCAAATTGTTTCCCTTTACAGATTGAAAGTGACTCTTCTTTTCTAGCCAATATTATTCGAGCTCGTTGTAGAGCCCCTTGGGCTCTTCACACAGTAGCAGTCCAATGCAGACGTAGACTTGCAAATCGTATGTGGTTCATTTTCCACATATATCAAAAAGCCAACATGGTGGCTTATAAACTTGCCAAGAAAGCTTCGACCTTCTCTGATGCTACAGTTTAGCGTTCTAGATCGCCAGATTTGATTTATCTCTCTTTATTTCATGATTTGGCACAATTACCGTACTACAGGATTGTAAAAATATGAGTTGTATTTTTATATCTCTATTAATGAAAAACGGATAGGGGGCCTTCTCATCCACTGACTTACCCAAAAAGAAAAATCTCTAGTGATCCAAGCCAACAAGAATCCATGGCTATGGGTGGAGCCTCCCCCTTCCATGGTGCCAACTCTGAGGCCCCTATGAGCCCGTTGCTCCCCGATGGTCAAGGAACCAAACGTAGCATGTAGCCACATCCACCGTTTAGTGTCATGATCGTGAATCAAGTTATGGAGCCCCTTGACGATTAGAGGGCACAACTCAAAGCCATGATGGAGCAGTTAAAAGCAAGAATACATGTGAAGGATGCCATGATAGAAAGTGTTTATGGTGGCCTCCGAGGCTAGAAATGTTTAGCAAACACACCAAACCAGCCACCATACCAGGCAACCAAGTTGTAGCTCCAAGGGCACCATCTTCCCAACCCTCCCCTCCCTCACATATAGTCCCCGCTTCATCGACTTATTGTGTGGATGCAAATCTGGTGAGGGCCATGTTATCAGAAGAGTCGAGAAAACTGCAAATTTCAAGTGTCGAAGAGCCGACCTTGTCAAAAACCCTACCCAGCTATTTTTGATCAAACCCCATTTCCCCCGAGTTATCAAAGACCTGATTTTCGCAAATACCATGGCACAATTTCCCCGTAGCAGCATGTTGCTCATTTTGTGTCTGCTTGTGGAGGTATGGCTAGCAATGACTACTAATTACTTGGGCAATTTGTGGGATCTCTCGGGAGCTGCTTTCAAATGGTGACTCGGCAACCTTGATAACTTCTAGGCGGGCAAGAAGAATTCCTCAAACGCTTTTACAACATAGAAAGGGAAGTACACCCAGTATAAGCCAGTGGAAACGATCGTGCAGAGTAATTATGATGGAAAGCCCACGTTTTTACATTGCAAGATGCATGCATCGTCACCAAGCTGAAACAATATGGCAGAATGCCTCAACCTAAATCTGGCTCGGCACACGATGGTAGTGAGACTATTTGAGGTTATCCCATCACACCGCAAGAGACAGCGTGAAGTTAAGAGTACATTTGATTCACATGACACGGGTGTTTACGTATGTAAAACCAGTTTGCAGGAAAGATTCTCAAACATGTTTTTCGTAAACATGTCTGGAAAACACTGTAATCGATTTCATATGTCTGGGCTTGAGAGAGAAGAGCACAGAGATGCAACAGGCGGGGCCACTCCAGCCCTAGCCCTAGCCTGGCATGGTCCCCATAAAGCCAGGCAAAGCCCTGTATGGCCTAAACCGGGCCGAGGATGCGGTACCCCTATTAGGATAGGTTGGGCCAACTACAAACAAAGAAATAATAATAATAAAATTAAAAATAAAGAGAAAAGGGATCGGACCGAGTTGGGTCTAGCCGGTCCTTCTGGCCCTGGCACAAGCTCAGCCACACCTAGTCCTCGAGCCGTGATCGGCTGGCCCGGCTCTCGGGCTACATTTTTGAGACCCGGTTTTTTTAGGGCCGGATCAGGCTACCCGCTCATTGCCAGCCTTAGGATACACACACTATCTGCGTGAGGGATTGAGAAGGACAGGGTTAACTTAATGTTAAAAAATCAGGTCCACTGAAAATTGTTTTCACGGGAAGTTACTATACACCTCTTGCTATGAGTTGTTTTATATGGAACGGGCTATTATGCGGTAAACAACTTTTGTATGGGAGAGCAAGCATGCGTAATGCAGATTTCATATGCAAACAGTTCCTAAATGCATACGTTTTCAAATTCAGTTTGTCATTGTTCTAACACTTCTCCATATCACAAAAAAGAGTGGCTTCTTGTCACAAGGATCGTGTACATTCTTATTGGCTGGAAGAAAAAAAAAAAGGAACAAACAAACAAGGATTAAAACTATAAGTTGATTGTGCTCTTCATCTGTCATTTCTTCATAATTGTATGTGATTTTTCTATGAAAGTCGAAAACAGAAAATCCAGGCCATCCCCAAACTTGCCAAAAGCAGCCAAAAAAAGAAAACGAATTGGACCCAGAATTGAATTTTGAAAAGGGAGCGAGTGCATACAATGCAGAAATGAATCTGCAAGCATAGATGCCCACAAGCATAGGATGGCACACAGTCGTACAGCCCTTCCATCAACCCTCATGTTTTTTTTTTCCAACCCATTGTTTCTCATCCTTCAAACAAGTGAATGCCCTGCTTCATTCCATTCGTAGTCTCAATTAACAAACTCACAATAATTCCCCAACAAAAAAAAAGAAAAAAACAAGCTCATAAACAATTAGAGATGTTGCACTGGGTGGTGCTGATAGCCTGCCTCTTCACTCAAATCGATTGACCGGTTTGGTTCAATCGGCTCAGGCAACATCATATCAAAACTTCTTTACAATAGAGAAATACCATTAATAACCATAAAAAATCCTAAGTAAAGAATATCTTATCAATGAACGTATGTTCCATATCATCATACATTTTTAAAACAACTTTAACCAAAAAAAAAATACATTTTCAAAAGACCAATTATATTACATTAAAAAGATCAATTATATTCAATGATTAGTCACTACTGATACGAATTTCTGTTAACCTTTTCATAGATTCATGTGGCCCGGCACAATATATGTGTCCACATGTGCAGGGGTGCAAGGGGATTGAAAACATGCCTGTAATTCAGGGGCTCAGGTGCCTAAGGTAGAACGTCCAGAAGAAAATCACGTACTACAATTTTCACTTTATGCCCAACCATTGTCTGTAACCAGCACCTATCATAACTAGTTGCAAGGTCAAATGCCAAAAGGAACACAAGAGGAGTTCCTCAATTCTTTTTTTCTTTGGTTTAGTGGGGACAGCCCTCAGCATAGGGACCACACAGCTATTTTTCAAATTTTTTATTCAACAGCACAAATACAATGACTTGAGAGGAAATGAGGAGAGAAAAGATGCTCTCTCAGACTCAGCATTACAATGAAAACATTATATCTACACTATGCATAGTAATTTAGGCTCGCCTTCTTCTTAGCCTGAACTTGAATAATCCCTTCATTGAAATCTTCATGGATAACCTGAATCAATTTTACACTAATCCCTAAGAGATATTCGTATAAAAGTTCAGGGCTCAAGAAGAAAAAAAAAACCATTTAGTTCTCACACTAGAGTATTTTCTAACAGAATAGAAAAAATTGCAGCAGCCAAATAGTCATGCAAACCTGTTCATAATTTAAATGGCAGTGCAATGCATAAAATAAAGGATATCATAGATGACAGAGTAGAACCTCAGTTGCGTTACGTCGCAATACCAGCATGCCAGCTTCAACACAAACAGCTTTCAACTGTGCCCCATTAAAATCATCAGCAAAACGTGCGAGCTCTTCAAAATTCACATCAGGATGAACATTCATTTTCTTCAAATGTATCTGCAGCGATGTAATGTTTAAGAAGACTACTACCCAAACCACAAATAGAAACAAACATAACCAGACAAATAATTTAGAGGATAAAAGCTTTATATTTTTTTTGGAGAAACAGAACTAGGAAAAACCTCAATATTTTACCTTTCTCTCTTTCTTTGTTTTCTTTTTTTTTATTTGTGAATATACTCAATATTTTACCTCTCCCAAAATTGCAACTAAAGTTTTTCCTTTCACTGATGCCATTTTTTAAAAAGAAATTATAATCCCCCAAAAAGCCCTCTCTTTTCTCAAACCAAACAACCAAAAACACTCCCTCCCTCCCTCCCTCCCTCCCTCTAGAGTCAATGGTTTGCTGTTCGGTAGAGAAAGTGAGCTTTAAGTCTTGGGTTCCAAAGAGAGATGAGAGAGAATCTCTTTAAGTTTGCATAAAGCATAGGATTTTTTTTATTTGAGGAGAGAGATAAAACATTTGGGTAGAGAGAAATTTTACAGAGAAGTTTTTGTCTAAGCTTGGGTAGACAGAAGGATTTGGTTTTCATGATTTCGCGTAGTGAGAGATAAAGGATTTGGCTTTCATGATTTCGCGTAGTGAGAGATAAAGGATTTGGCTTTCATGATTTCGCGTAGTGAGAGATAAAGATTTGGGAAAGGGAAGTACATTATTGTATTGGGTTTGTAAAGAGGGAAGAAAATTTAAGAAACTAAATGATTAGAAAAGCCAACAATGTGGCTTTATACAGTAAAATGTGAACTTAGGTGGCAGTTGACATTTACGCAGGAAAATTGCACTTAGGTGGCAGTTTTATGGTTTGCCAAAAAATTGGTTGTACATTTTTGGGTATGCAGAAACTTGGGTGGCAAAAGTGATGTTTTCCCTAATAAACTAATGCTAAATAGCCACACACCTGCAAGATTTTCACCCTTGCTTCTTCAGTTGGGTGAGGGAACTCTATCTTGCGATCTACACGACCCGAACGCATAAGAGCCGGGTCGAGAATATCTACTCGATTGGTTGCCGCTATGACCTACAAAAAAATCCACATTGCCTAGGAATGTTGAGCGCAAACCAGAAAGATAATAAACCAGATAAATTCTATCTAAATATTATCAAAAAAAAGAAATGCTAAGCTCTTGTCAAATGGCCCAAAAAGATGAACTTCGTTATATTGTTGCCACTCTTTGAATAGCCATATGAATCAATACAAAACCAATGAAAACCAATTCACAATCTCCAAGTAGTTAATGACTCCCTCTTAAGAAAATTGATGGAAAATAAATATGTTTACTGGCAACGGTAAACAATTTTTTCAAAAATCTCAGCAAACATGATAATGAACAATACAAATTTTGGATGATAAACTGAATTAAAATGTTGCATATTAGGTGAACTAGTTTCATCAGTAAATCTGCTCAAGCCACTTTGTGCCAGAGACTACTGCTACTCAGATACCACCGCAACCAGCTGGTGGATCAGTTGGAACAGGTTAACAAATTGAGCCTTCCGATTCTGAGAAAATTGCTATTGCTAGGTTACCGACTCCAGCCTAATGGTTGGGCGCCCCCAGTCTTGTACCCAAGCTTGTCATTTGAACCCCACCAAACAAATGAAAACAAATAAAATAAATTCTCCCTTGTAAACCAACACAAATGGTTGTACATTCAAAGTCTACAATGCATCCCAGGCCAAAATCTTCCAAGGCTGAGACAAAGACATACCCTTCCATCCGCTGATAATTCACTTGCCAATATGCACAGAAGCCCCACCCAAAGAGATGAGAGCATTGAGAAGCAAGATCAAGATCAAACCAACATTGGGTTGAACAACAACCTTCCCCAAGGATACAGCTCAACCCCAACATTAATCCAATTAAAAAAACAATCACCTAAGAGTAGCCAGCTCACACAACTCAGTGACAGTGTGAGGCCCACCAGAACACCACCTATCCACGTAGCACACCATGTACCCCAACAACCACCAGGCCAGCTCAGAAGACTAATCACAGGCTTGGTAGCATGAGATGGGCCACCGGGTATTGAAGAATATCCTAGTTCCCGCGCATAAGCACCACAGATCTCAAGCAATGTTCAAAAATACAGATTCGGCCGCCTAGGAAGTTTGGGTGCCTAGCCGCCAATGCGTCCGCCTAGAGACAAGGTGCCCTCACCAAAATTGAGACAACCCCTCCAACCCCACCCCAAACAAAAAAAACAGGAGAGTTCTTAGGTCTTGGTTTAAAGCCTAAGGGAGTTTTTAGGGCAATTTTAGAGCCCCAAACTCATCGTGATCGTGAAATAGACGAAAACAAAATAGTACAAATACAATATAATACTACAATTACATAACAGATTTACGAATGATACAACTCTCTTGTAAGTTTGTAACTTGTAAGTTGTAAGGCATTAAAATGCTTGAAATCCCAAATGTTATTGTAGGAAACTAGAAGTTTAGACTAGAAATGATACACAAACTCAACAAGGCAAAATCAAAAGACAAATACATCAAGTCATCAACCAAACAACTCTATGGCATTTGGCACAACTCTATGGGTACCATGCAGGGTGTTCAATTGGATCATGAGGAGCATTTGATGATAATGTTGCCATGCCATCATCATCAAAGTCATCGCCCTCCTCAACATATTGAGTGTCATCCCTCATCTCCTCTGAATCTACTTCTTCCTCTTCATCATCCTCTCTTGATGTCATCACCCACTTCCTCTTCTTGATCACTGCCTTCCTTTGCTAGGTCTTCTCCTTCCCCTTCCTTTGGCTTTGAGTTTGAGCCCAAGTCATACGCAGGGGGCATTGCTGTCCTAGCAGCCTGACGAACCTAGCCCCAGATCAAGCCCTCTCCAAGGAAAACCTCATCATCACTGGCATCGACCAGCCACTCACATGCGTCATCAATACCAAAAGCTTCAATAGCCTCCCTTTGATCGTGCTCGAGCTGTGGATGACGCTCTTGCAACTTTTGATTATATTGAACAAAGACTAGGTCGTTCAGTTGTCTTTTCTCTAATATGTTTCTCTTCTTTGTATGCACCTAATAGAAAAAAAAAAACTCACTTAGTTACTATCTTATTAAGTATTAACTAGTCTATTAAGTATGTATGCGCCCAATAGAAAAAAAAAATCACTCGGTAACTAACTTACTAAGTACTAGCTAGTCTACTAGGTATGTATGCACCTAATAGAAAAAAAACCCACTTAGTTACTAACTTACTAAGTATTAACTAGTCTACTAAGGATGTATGACATTAACTTAATAAGTAATATTACCATTGCAAAGGCGCTGACGTTGGGCTCACATCCAGAAGAGCTGCAAGTCATATTTAGTATTTTCATGGCCATCTGCCTCAAATGAGGGGGGCTTCCACCATGGCCCATCCACCATGCACCTGTACCAGGTAAATGTAAAATTGTAATTGTAGTAATTTAGTAAATTAGGCATATGGCCATCTGGGTAATTGAAATCAAATACTCAAATTATAAAATCAAACTAAGGAAGTTCTAAAATTACCAGGAGGGATCTTGGACTTTTGCTTGACTGCCACCTCCTTACCTAGAGATCCAGTAGCAAGCATATACAATCTAACTTCATCATTGCCTTATCTTGCACTTCAGGATCAGCGTTGAGCTTCACATTGCACTGGTTGAAAGCATCCATGAACTCGGGCCTGCCAGCATTAGTGTAAAAGTGAGCAAGGTTAAGGTAGTATCCTGCTAAGTGTAGGGGCCTCTCAAGCTGGGAGTTCCAGTTGTCTTCATAATCTTCAAAAACTCCCCAGACCTCTTGTCATCCCCCAAAGAGCTCTTGATTTCTTCCTTTGCATCCTGCATGGCTTTTTAGATATGCCACATAACAGGTTTCTTCTCAGCATCAACCATCTTGATAGGGAGAAAGAGTAACAAGACGTACTAGAACTTGATCCAAAATCTTGAGTCCATGATAATGTCCATAAAAACTCTTCCATCAGCTTTCTTAGATCACTTGGACTTGGTCCAATCCTTAGACACAAACATGGACCTCAATCTTTCCTTGTACTCAAATAAATATTGTAAGGACAAGTACGAGGTGGCAAATCTAGTCGCCTCAGGCCACACCAAGTCTCTGTTCGCAAGAAACTAGTATAATACTAAAATGTATTCCTGAGCGTGATTGTACAACTAAACTATGACTTTCTTTGCCTTTTCGATGGTTGTCATGAACGTCTTCCTCTTATCAATGGCCTCAAGCATAAGGTTTATGCAGTGTACTACACAACGGGCCCAAAAAATACGTGACCCCATGTCCATTAATAATCTATCAGCCACCATAGTAGCCGAATACATATCAATCACAACTTGGACCACTTTACCCCCCTATCTCCTCTATACATTGGTCCACCAAATTAAAAATGAACTCTGCATCATGGAACTTGTCTGAAGCATCAATAGACCTCTTGAACATTTTCCCTAATGGAACAATTCACCATCAAATTCATGATGCTTATGTACCTCTTATCATTCCAGCCATCGATCATTATTGTACAACCATATACACCCCACGCATAAGTGTGGATCTTAAAAAAGTTATTCATTAGCTCCACTTCTTTCCTGAGTATTGGCCCTTTAAGGTCATAAGCTGTTGAAGCCCTCAACCCTAGCCCAAACTGGCCCTAACTAGAAGCTACTCAAGTTAGCAGCATAAACAAAAAAACCTGCTTGGAACATCCACCTCCCCACATATTGGATGACCCTTTCTCTTTCGTCCTACCTAAAATGGGTCCCTAAAGTTGTTTGACCCCATTCTCGTGGTAGTACCTCAGGATTAGGGCGGGGCAAGAAAGCATCCATAGGACCTCTTGTTCTTGGCCTACTAGAAGAACCAACCTTAGTATACATGTCTTCTTTCTCGCTTCGAACTCCAAGAACATCTACAGCCCTTACAAGTTCATCTCGTGTTATTCTTACCTCATGTTTCTTGGCTTTTACCCCCTCCAAGTTCCCTAGCATCTCTCTCCTTACCTCAGCAGGCACTAGAGTGCATGACGCCACATCCCCTTTGATGTCGGCTAAATGCTTTTTTCAATCTGTCGATGCCAGCATTATAACAATTTTTGCAAAACTTGCACTCGATCATATTCTTGTTAAGAGGATTTGGACAAGTTCCATACTTCCAACCTGGATCAGTTGGCTTACTTGATGCACTACAAGTCATTATCCTCAATGAATAATAATTGATCGAGTATCAATCAATGTGAATTAGAATCAATCACCATATCAACAACCCGGTAAAATACATAAGATTAAAGAATTAAGTCATTAACTATTAATTTATTTTAAGACTTAAATGAATAACTAAATATATAAGACCTTAGTTTTACTTTCACATATGACTTAACCCATTAAAATATTACATAATCAATTATTTATCACATAAAGTAAAACAAAAATAATAGAATATCAAAACATGGCACATTGTACAAAAAGGAATCAACTTTTCATAAAAGAATACGATATATGCTCCATTTCATCGTCAAAATGATAAAAGATTCAATTAATCACAAAAAAAATCAATATTTTAACTACAAACATAAAAATCTATTGTAAAAGAAAAAACACATGATTCATAACATAATATGTTGCAGCAAAATAAAATCAAAACTCTCTTTCAAATACGATAATACTTTAAAAATATCAAATCAAATCGATGTTGGTGCTAACTTCGTCTATTGGGTCTCCAAAAGTTCTCAAAATCAACCACTAGAAGCTCGAAATCCACCCACGAACTATTGACTTTGTTTGGGGAAGAAATCGAAAAAATAAAAAATTTATCGATCTTTCGATAAATCACAAAAGAATGGTTTTGGGAGGGGTTTTCTCACCCTAAAGGCCATGTTTTTTGTTTTGGGGGTTTAGAATACCCCCCAAAACCCTTTTCCCCCTTTTTAGGGGGACGGGGGATTACATTTTTTTGACCCTCACTAAAGATTTTTCTCCGCCTGTCCACAAAGTGTCACAGGGCGGTGCCTAGGCAGGCCCCCTGACAGTAGCGCCAAGGCAGGTACCCAGAGACAGGGCTCATAATAAGCTCGCCTAGACAGCGACTAAGCGTTTTTCAAATTTTTTCGTCTAGGCTGTCAAGGGGTCAAATTTTCGAACATTGATCTCAAGCAAGGGAGGAATAAAAGAGCCCAACTAATAAGGTGTTTCAAAAGCGCTAGGCAGCACCTAGGCGGTCGGGGGGGTCTAGGCCGCCCAACGCCTAGGTGGGCGCCCAGAACCTGGACGGCCTAGTAGAATTTTTTTTTTTGGGGGGTCTACTGGGTTTTAGGTTTCAAATGAACCTAAAACCTACAATTTTTCCCCTTTAGTATTAAAAAATTGACCCAAAAATACCCTCAAAGAGCCACATTTCCACCACTAGGCGGGTTCCGGGGCGCCCAAGGATATCCGCCTAGTTTGGCCACCTAGACCGGGGCGATGCGGCCAGGCCTTCTGGACCACTTCGACGGCTGCTGGTCGGTTCGGTTTTTAAAAGTATGCCAACTATCACTAAGTAAGTGAAGGCACCACTTAACTATGGTCTCGAATAGAAAGGTATCGATTGAGGAAACGACTGTCTAATACCAGTTATGTATTGACCATATGGGCAGAAGAAGTCATTGTAACCCAATACAATATTGGTCATATGATAGGATTGTTATAGAAAATGTCTAGAAAGTCGAAACACCATCTTTCCTTTGCATTAAAAAACAGAGGGGGACATCATGCCCCTCTTTAGTGAGACATATGCTCATGTAACCTGTATACAATTTTCTTTCAAGTAATACAATGGGTGGCATACTTGCATAACCCCGGTAACCAAGTGAAAAATAGAATTGGTCATTAGCTAAAAGACTGTGCCTCCGAATGATGATAAGTATCCGCCCCTGACAATTTATGCAATACTACGTGTTACAAAACTACCCAAGTGGAAAACAAGAATGCATAAGAGGGTACAAAGTCTGGAACCTCAGTGCTCTAAGTGATGAGGATCTAACAAAAGCAGGAATGATTAGATTTAAGAAAAGAAAACTATTCATATTGTATTCTTTAAGAACATATCCCCCCTTTCCTGGCAAAGAAAACAAATGCTTGGCAAGAAAAGACCAGTGTTCCAAATGGTTCACTGCCACTCCAAATCTTCGTAAGCCAATCAGTAACATAAAACATCCTATGCATAGTTTTTTTTTCGAGAAAGAACATCCTATGCATAGTTGCTTTCGCTCAAACCTTTCTATGCATAGTTTCTTTCACGTCTTTCTAACAGGAAAGAGACCAGTTGCTCCCAGTGTAGTCACATGCAATGGTAAAAAATCAAAATTCTCTTTCCCAGACAAGTCTTTCCACTGGGTCCTATTCCAAATTCACACATTTTTAAGGGAAAAAATCAAAATTCTCTTTCACAGACAAGTCTTTCCACTGGGTCCTATTCCAAATTCCAAATCTCTAAGAGCCCATCTGTCCAATCCTCAAGCAAGTTTTCTCAATGGAAGCATCAAAATCTTTCCTCGTCCAGCTAAAAGCACTCTAATGTCAAACACATTTAAAACTCATAAGCTTCTAAGAACCTGCTTCTCAAATCCCCCCCTGGCTTGCTGAATTTACTCATGGTACTTTCAGAGAAATATTTGGCAATGTTTCACTTTTGGCAATAGAGAAATGCAAATCATGTTGACAGACACGCAACCTACCAAAGAAACATGATTAGTTAAAACCAGTGTTTAAAAGATCAGCCGATTTTTAAAAAATCCACCGACTAAATCGGGATCGATCACTCCCGATTTGTCCCAATTCCGACGGTCATGTATTCTAATATTTTTTTCAGTGCACTAATCGGCCAATTGTTTGAACTAATCAGTACTAATTGGCACTACTCGGCACAAATCGACCGATTAGAAAATCGCCTGATTTGTGCACTGTTCCAGTGTGACTTTTGAACATTGCCCTCTATTCTTGTAAAGATCGGTTTGGGCTCTATTATTGCCCATTTTCTCTTCCCAGTGTTGGGAAGAATCTTCATCATTGAGATGGAGATTTTTGCGCTTTTGGGGGTCTATAACCCCCCATGGTCAGGGAAAGGAGCAACAACAAGTTAGGGCAATGTCAAGGCAAGGAGCATCTGCAGCTTGTCTCTCCCAACGTCTCTCTCTCTCTCTCTCTCTCTCTCCTCTCTCCTATCTCTCTCTCTCTCTACTCTACTCTACTCTACTCTACTACTCTCTCTACTCTACTACTCTACTACTAACT